GAACCCTCAGTTTGTTTTTCAGAGTCCATCTTCTCTCATGGTTCGTCCACCCCTCCGATTTCCCCCGCTTCATTCCTCCCCTCCCGCTACAAGGTGCTGTATTCTTGTATTTATTTGGGGCCATTCTCTTTTCATCTAGGCCCACAGGAATCCATGTGGCCGAAATGCGGTAAGGAAGGTGGTATCTTACTGATGACCCCGAGGATCCTGGCACCTTCAGAGGCCTGCCCCTAGTGGGACGGGAGGAGCCAGCTGGGGGAAATGGACAGGGATATACAGGCCTTTACAGTAGTGTAGAGAGCTTGTACAGAACAGTGTGTAGGATGCGTTCATCAGAGAAGAGACCGGAGGCACAGGTTATTCTATCTGTAGGAAAAAAACAATCGGTGTTTGGAGGAGCACAGTTCTGTGTGGTTCTGTGTGGTGGTAGTGGTTCCCCCCTCAGGGCTAGTGTGGAAGCTGGACTGAGGATTAGCCTAATCCAGGGGGATCCAGTGACAATGCTCAGGTTACTACAAGGAACGCAGGTTTATTTGGTGATCTAGCGGTTGCTAAGGATTTAGTATCTTACCTCATCAGTGTATAGAGGTCATGAATGGGAGGCGTCAGAGTCAACTATAAAGGGTTGTTGACATATTATTTTTAAATATTTGACTATTCTGTACCTTGAATTGACCTCATCTTGTATGTACGTGTGTAAGATCTATATAATCGTTGCTATTAGGATGATTCACTGAGAGCATTTGGGTAGGAGAGCAAAACGTGAATATTCCTGAGTCTTGCATGGGGGAAGGGAGAGAAGCTCATGCACCTACCTTTTGCTGAGGGGGAATAGTGGGGCAATATCACTCAAGTAAGTGGGGACTGAGCCTGGCAATTAAGGTGCCTTGTGGACTAGACTTCCAAGGGATTGGTCCTCCTAAAATGTTTATTATAGAACAGCATGCACTTTTGAGGTATGGTGGTGTAATTTTAATTGAACAGTGTTCTTAGGTTTCAGATGGGCAGTATTTTTTAAATTAAATTTTAATTCCAGTATAGTTAACATACAGTGTTCATTTAGTTTCAGGTGTACGATAGAGTGATTCTACACTTCCATGCATCACCCAGTGCTCGTCACAAGTGCCCTCTTTCAGCCCCATCACTGATTTTACCCACCTCCCCTCTGGTAACCATCAGTTTGTTCTCTCTAGTTAGGAGTCTGTTTCTTAATTTCTTTTTCTTTCCCTTTGCTTGTCTTGTTTCTTAAATTCCACATATGAATGAAATCATATGGTGTTTGTCTTTCCCTGACTGACTTATCTCACTTAGCATTATACTCTCTAGCTCCATCCATGTCCTTGCAAATGGCAAGATTTCACTCTTTTTTATGGCTGAATAATATTCCAGTGTGTGTGTGTGTATACACCCCACATCTTTGTCCATTCATCAGTCAGTGGACACTTGGGCTGCTTCCATAATTTGGCTCTTGTAGAAAATGCTGCTATAAACATAGGGGTGTACATATCCCTTCAAATTAAGTGGTTTCGTATTCTTTGAGTAAATACCCACAGACAGGCAGCATTGCTCTTTCCCCACGCATGGTGCTTTCTTGCTAAAGCCGACTGCTTTTTGACATCTAGAGGTTGTTCTCCAGCCTGGCTGTGGAAGGAAAATCATTGTGTAGCCTTGGACAGCAGCTGTGTAAAAAGCGAAAGTTGTTTAATCTCTTTTAATTCAGACTTAACTATCAAAATTAGGTTTTGAATAACTGTAAAAATGCAAAATTCAAGGTCTTCAATGTTAGAAGGAAGGTCTAGGAAGAGATTTTTTTTTTTAAGAAAGAATTTAAGTGAAAGAACCTTTTCTCTCTTTAGTTCTTTGCTATAAATTGTTTATTGGCTGAGCGTTTTTAACTGTTGTTAACCAGGTTGAAGTTACTATCTTAGCAATGCCAGCAACTTGCATTAGAGTTGACTCAACGAGAAGATTCTGGCGCCTGGTGGGCAATCAGCCATTTAAGGTGCTCTTACAGTAAAAATGGCATAAACACATTTTAGGAACCTTTATGTTACATAGATGAACATTTTTCTGATAGAACGTCTTCATTTTTGCAAGCCAAAGTTTCACCTCATGCCAAAATTTCCCACTTGTGCAGTAATTGAGTGTCTGACAGAGATATAAAAAATAAGAGCTAACACAGTAGCAAAAGCAACTAAACATCAAATTTATTTCTGGCAAACAAACTGAGTAATTTCCACTGGATAAGACAGATGCAGGATATGTGCATTGATCTTCTGTTGCTGCGCTAACAAATTACCACAAACTTCGTGATTTCACACAACACACATCTATTATCTTACAGTTCTGTGGGTTACAAGTCCAACACAGGTCTTACTGCACTAAAGTCAAGGTGTCAACAAGGACTGCATTCCTTCTGGAGGCTCTAGAGGAGAAGCCATTTCCTTGCTTTTCCAGCTTCTAGAGGGTACCCGCATTCCTTGACTTGTGGCCTCCTCCCGTGTTGAGTGCCAGCAAGCTTGCACCTTTCTGACCCTTTCTCCACAGTCACATTTGCTGCTGATCACAGCCAGGAAAATTTTCTGTGCTTTTAAGGACCCTTGTGATGAGATTAGGCTCCCCTGCATAATCCAGGATTATCTTCCCATCTCCAGATCCTAAACTTAATCACATCCGTTAAATCCCCTTTGCCACCTAAGGTAATATATTTTCATGTTCTGGGAATGAGGATGTAGACATCTTGGAGGGAGGGGGTCTTTTGCCTACCATTCTATGGAAATACTTAACACAGGATTTCACTCAGAGAAAGTACTTTTCACATGTGCTCATAATGTGTCACAGGTCTTTAAGAAACTTTCACTTGGGTGTTTTATAGGAAAGAGTTGTGCATATTTAAAAAAGAAAAAAAAAGTTTTATTTGTTTGGATCGTAACCTGCTTATTAAAGCTGATGTTCATTCTCTTTGTTTACTTTGATAGTGACAACCTGCTAAGGAGAGCAGCCTGTCAAGAAGCTCAGGTAATATCATTTAATGTGCTAAAATTAAAACCTGCTTTATCTCCGTTGTGCAGAAAACTCGGGCTATTCCAGGGGACCAGCACGGTGCCTTGCATCGGAGCAGTGTGGATTTTTTCCCCCTGCTATCAGGGGATGATGAGTTAGGCCGAGAGCCAGCTCGGAACAGAGCAGGAGGAAGTTAACCATCTGGTGAAGAGCAGTTCTAACGCCCACCCCTTTAGACTTGTTTACTTCTGGATTAGTCCTAAGAATACATACATGGGCTGGTTGGAGCTCTGGGAATTTGTTTCTGGCTGTGGTTGTCCTTAAAGATCGTGCTAAGCCCTGAATCTTCCCTGATCCAAATAACCCCCAAGGATTTCTGTTCAGGACAGGTGTTACCCCTTAAAGTCAAATCTTCTTGAAAGCCCTTGATTCATATTTTTAAAGCCTGTCTGTTTAGCACAGCTGATTCATACCATGTGTGCATTGTTCTCCCAGGCCCATGCACTTAAATAATCCTATCTGGCGGTATTCTTGTTAAATTATAAATCCTTTGGAGTTCAAGACCACCTTTTTGTTCTTCCCTCCCTTCCAAGTTTGTACGTTATGCTTTGCAGGTGAATTTCCCTGACTGAGTTGCCTTTTTGTTGTATGCCGTTTAAGCTTATGATATCAGAAATACCAAAAAAAGAAACTGAAGTAAAAAATGACAAAGGTATGATGTATTTAGTGGAAGGAGGTGGGTGGCAGACCTCATGTATGTTACCGAAATGTTTTCACGGATGACAATGACAATAGATCGTATTAATACATTCCTCTCTTTGGTGGTGATCTAAGTGTTCTAAAACTGTGTTTTAAGAATTTGATTACTCTTTTGTTTTATCTCCTTTGGCTCTGCTGTTTTGAAAATGAATGATCCCCACCCCAAGGTGAGGTGATTCCCCACCCTGAGCTAATTTTCCATTAGCAAGTAGAAAAGCTTGGGAGGGGAGCCTTTTCTTGGTCTCCCAAAGGAAGGGTGGTCGCAGGGTCCTCTTTCTTGTTGACGCAAAATGCCTCTTCCCCCTCTGTGCTGAATGCCGGCTCATCCTTTCTCAGAGACTCTTCCTCTAGTCGCTGCTCATTCTCCTATTTACCTCTTCCCACGGCTGGAGTTCGTTCCTTCCCAGCACCCAGGGAGCTCCTTCCATCTGGCAAATGGAAGCGAATTCATCCTTAGAGCCTACTCCAGTTACTTTTCCTGTTTATGGCTTCCCTTTACAGTCTAAATTCTTGAAAGAGTGATTTTTTTAATCTCACATAATCTCAATTCACTATAGTCTTACATAAACTCCTTAACGCACCGTAAACCTGCGCCTGGAGTTGCAGGTAGGTAAGAAACTAAGACAAAGAATAATCTGGAACTGTAGATCTGGAGTCTGGTAGGCTGGAGAAACTGGCTGACTGAGTAATTTCTGGCCACATTCCAGAAAAACTATGGATAGAAAAAGAACACATTACAATGTTTGGAGATTTGGCAGCAGAATATTAAGGCCGAATTCAGGAAACAATATTTCTTTCTGAAGCATTCAGAAAAAGTGTATTTTTTGTTTTGTTTTGTTTTAAAGCAAGAAATAGACCATGCAGAGAACGGCTCCCTGGTGGACTGTCAGGGAGGTGGTGGTCGCTTAATAAAAATCTTGGTGTAACTCATTTTTCTCCTGTCTTTACTTTGTGCTTCCATACCTGAATTCTGCCTCCTTGGCCCAGACCTGATCCCCACCAACAAAGACTCAACATTTTGACTCTGGTGTTTTCCTCATTTTTGTTGGTGGTCTTCTTCAGTCCAGGTGGAATAGCATTAGCTCATGTTCTTATTTTGAGGCTGCACGTCTGGTTCTGTGTGCCTCCGAACTCTGCCTCCTCCTTTATCTGCTGTTCAGAGCTGACAGAGTAGAAGTTGGGGTTTTGGAGTTAGATGTGAATTCTAGGCTTGTAATTTATTAACTATGGGACTTTGACTTAATCTTTCTGCATCTTGGTTTTCTGAACTATTAAAATGAGAACATTTAATACGTCCTAAGTTTCTGAGAGCTAAGAATAATGTGTAGGACAGCGGCAAATACTAGGTGGTTAGTAAATATTAATTATATTTCTTTTCCTTGTCAGTTGATGCTATTTATTATTATTGTTCTTATTTCAAGTTTGTATTTAAAGTCTAGTTAGTTAACATATATGGTAGATTGGTTTCAGGAGTAGAATGTAGTGATTCATCACTTACATACAACACCCATTGCTCATCACAAGTGCATTCCTTAATCCCCTAGTTGATGCTATTTAGTTATCAAGTTATAGAAGGTTGCAAAGAGGAGGAGGCAAATAGACTATTAAGTTTATTTTTTTTACATGTATGAAAATATGAAGATTAATTGGTATCACAAAAGTTCTTTATGAATAAGCTTTAGTAATAAATTGAAGGAGAAAAAGATTATACTCTGAAGACTGTGGGCAGGTGGATTAAACTTTACTTCTGATAGACTGTGGCCTTGCTGGTTATGTGTTTATAATAAACCTAGCCACATCTAAGAAAAGTTACTTACCTCTAGTAGTTGAAGCAGGGTTTTGTTTTGTTTTTTTGTTTTTTTACAAAATTTAGCTGATTGTCATTAAATAATGGTAGACTTGGTTGTTGTTCATGGTATTTTTGTCAATATGAAATCATGAAAGAACATTTTTCCCCCCAGAGTAGGTACCATGTCTCCTGGAAGTAAATTCCTTTGGAACGAAAGAATATATATAATCGCTAACTGAATAAAGGATATTTGCTTAAAACTTTCCTTTTTTCCTTTTTAGGTGTTTGGCAATCAACTCATTCCTCCCAATGCACAAGTGAAGAAGGCGACGGTTTTTCTCAATCCTGCAGCTTGCAGAGGGTAGTTCAGTTTGTGATTTGTCACATACTCAGTTTTCCTGCGGGGGGGGGAATGTCACAGAATATCAGGAAGCTGGTTGGACTGTGTAGAATTGGAAGAAGTAGGTTCCCTGCTCGTCTAGCAACGAGATTAATTTGTAATGGAGAAATAGCGGTTAATGAGCTATAACTGTAAAGCTAACTGATGCTTGGCAAACTTGTCTAATTGAAATTTAATAAAAATCCCAGAATTAGGGGTGCCTGGGTGGCTCAGTCAGTTGGGCGGCCAACTCTTGGTTTCGGCTCAGGTCGTGATCTCAGGGTGCTGGGATTGAGCCCTGTTGTTGGGTTCTGCACTTAGTGGGGAGTCGGCTTCAGGATTCTTGCTCTCTCCCTCTGCTCCCCCCTAAAATAAATAAATCTTAAAAAAAAAAAAATCCCAGAATTAATACTCTCAAGTGAGTCTTACCTGCTTGAGGATAGTTCCTGCTGTTGTGATGTAAATGATTGGGACTTCTCTGTTCCAGGATGTTCCACAATGGCCAGGAACATTGTGGGCTTGTGAAATCAGAAACATTCTAAAAGGAGTGAACCTTGAGCTAAGTCTTGGAGGTCAGCAGAGGGAGAACACTCAATCTTCCTGATTGAGGAAATAGCTCAGGGCAGCGGGGGCCTAGCCACAGGGGTAACTAGTTATGTCCCTTGCTATATTGCAGACCAGTCTGTGACCTGGTCTAGCTGACCTGGAAGAGTTGTGTGAGGGAATTGTGGGAATTCAGGTGTGAAGAACAGTTGGGACTTTGGTCGATAATCACGTATATCTGTTCATTTATTGTAACAAAGGTCCTAACCTGGTGCAAGATATTGAAAGTGGGGGAGGCTGTGTGTGTAACGGGGCAGAGGGCCCATGGAAATTCTGTTTTCCACTCATTTTTACTTTGAACTTAAAAACTGCTCTAAAAAATAAAGTCTATAAATTTTTTAAAAAGTACCTTAAGCAAAAAAAATTTGTTTCAATGTTCGTTGCAGTTCTCATTCAGTTGGAGAGGTGAATAAAAAAGACCTTGTTGAAGGTTTTTAGAAGAAATCATTTAAAACTTAAAATTATTTTTTAAAAATAGTAAGAATGAAAAGGTTCTGTGGGGTGGGGAGGGGAGTGATATCTTTTATTATCCCTAGTGACCAGAACAATTCTTTGTCTTTTTTGAGGATTGGAAAATTAATAAATATGTATTAGGTTGGATTCTGGGGTGCCTGGGTGGCTCATTCGGTTAAGTGTCTGCCTTTGGCTCAGGGTTCTGAGGATCCTGAGAGAATCCTCAGGATCAAGCCCCGTGTTGAGCTCCTTGCTCAGCAGGGAGCCTGCTTCTCCCTCTCCCTCTGCCACTCCCCCTGCTAGGGTGCTCTCTCTCTCTCTCTCTCTCGGCCAAATAAATAAAATCTTTAAAAAAAAATATGTGTTAGGTTGGATTCTATAAGATCTTAGATGACATCAAGATATTAAGAACAACAACAAAAAGACTAGTTGGGACCAGCTTGTAACTAGTCTTGTGTAAGGCGCAGGAGTTCTGAAATAAGTTTCTCTAGTAATTTGAGATAGTGAATGTGGCTTTACAGATATAAGGACAAATCATGCTTTTTTTTTTGGATAGAGCGAGAGCTCGAGCAGGGAGGGGCAGAGGGGGAGAGGGAGGGAAAGAGCGAGAATCCTAAGCAGGCTCCACACGCAGCATGGAGCCTGGTACCAGGCTCAGTCTCACAACTCCAAGATCACAGCTGAGCTGAAATCAAGAGTCGGACGCTTAACCGACTGAGCCACCCAAGCACACCACGCCTTATTTTGAATTCTGCAGTTTAAGATATTTACCTACAGATTGTCTAAACTGGCTCTGTGACTCTGCCTAATTGAATCCTACTGGACGGGCTTTGTTAGGGCCGCTTCCCTCCCCCATAAACACCAGTCTTAATGCCTATTGATCATTCTTGTTTAATACCAGTACTAAACAATACCAACAAATGAACAGGTTCTAACACAACACAGTCAAAATATCTAAGATAATTAAGCAGTGGTGGCCTGTGGCAGAAGCTAGTAGAGAACTGTGTGGGCTCTGGAGTTTGAAGGACGGGACTTATATATTCTGCTCTGTGATAAGGGAGTTACTTAGCTTCAATCCTCAGTGCACTCATCTGTAAAGTGGGAAAAGTAATAGTTCATACCTTATAAAATTGCCATATAGAATAGGTGCCTTTGCAATTAAGTGAAATAATGGCTATGATGTGCTCAGCATTTCCATTTCATGGTAAGCACTGAGCGAAGGGAATATAAGCCACTGTGATTATTATTGACCTGTCGGCTAGGTTCAAAACATTCTCTACTTTGCTCCCCCACCCTTCCTGAAAGTGCTCGTAGCTCTCCCTCTGCCTACTTTAATATAACTGTTCTAGGTCCTGTTCCTTTAGAGACCTACTTAGTTAGGAACTTGCTAATTCTGATACAGAAAAACATATGGTAGTTTAAGCTATAATCTGTTACTTTTAAAAGTTCCTATTTATAAGGGATAATTACATTAAAAAAACAAACTTTTTTAGAGCAGTTTTAGGTTCTGTTTATATTTTTACATGTAAATGTATTGGCGTTTTTAAAGTTGGATTATTGTTTACAAGTAGAATAATTTTATCTTTAAAGGTGAGGCTAGGGAAAGTCTGCTAAAGTTATTGTCCCCTTTAGCAAGGTGAATCCCTGTGTGCTTCTGGGTATCGACCACTCTGAAGCTCTCCAGCATCTTTTTTTTTTTTTTCCTAAAGCTTTCACTATTTAATTGCACTCTTTTTGTCATCTTGGCTCTACTCGGACACGTAATATATAATTCATCATGTAGCTATTTCATTATGTAGTACTGGTTTAAAACTACATAGGCGCTTTAAGAAGTAAGATAACTGTGTGTTTAGCATTAATAAATAATACATTAAGAAGTAATTATTTTTGTGTGTGTACGTGAACCTGGAAATTGCGGTAGGTATCTAAAGTTTTATTTAGTTCTGGTGCTGTCTCACCTTTAATTATATAATAAATAATGCATTTCTTACTGGTAGCACTTGTTTTTCAATCTTTTATATGGAACATTAGAATTTTAGAGATTTTCTGTAGCTGTGGCATCACATAAAGATGTGAATAAAAGCCCAAATGTTCAAATCATTATTTCTTCAACTTGGAGGAGCTTACAGATTTGTTAAAAATGATTAATATAGGGCGCCTGGGTGGCTCAGTTGGTTAAGCGACTGCCTTCGGCTCAGGTCATGATCCTGGAGTCCCGGGATCGAGTCCCGCATCGGGCT